TTCAGATTTTGAAATTCTAAGCAGATTTATTGAGTTTGGTTCTTCGAATTTCAATTTTTGAAACCCCTTTCTCCTCGTCCCAAAACTCAAATCAGTTCAGAGTTTCAAAATCTAAACCGATTTGGAATTTTAATCTCCGATCTATTTTCTTAATAGTTTTGGTTCGGATTTTAAAAACCACAACCGATGGTATTTTGGAAAACATAAAAAAATGGGGAGATGAGCATAAATTACCATATATATTGGGGGTAGATTGTTAATTTCAAAACAAAAATCGAATATTTGTAAATTTCCATGTTATATGTAATACACGATACACACCAAACAACTAATATAATATCGTTATGCAAAATATATTAATTCCATATATGGTAATTTACACCTAAATGCTAGGGATGGCGATGGGCCAGATGGATCGGCTCGGCCTGGGCATTTAAAATTGGGGTGGCCCACTACCCGAGCCAGGCTACCCTATATTTATATGGTTCCTCTATTTTTTATTATTTTTTGGCTTGCCCAGCCTGATTTTGGCCCGGGTCTCTTTGGTCCTGTCAAGGTTGGGCTTGGCCTGGATTGGCCTTATGGGGATTAAAGCCGGGCTTGGCTTGGGCTGGCCTTATGGGGATTAAGGCTAGGTTTGCCTTGGACTGGCCTTATGGGGATTAAGGGAGGGCTGGCTAGACTCGAGCCCGGCCTACACTGGCCCAAGACTATTAATACCATCCGAATAGAATCATAGTTTCCCCACCTATCTAAATAACAGACGACATAATTCATCATTATCATAGACAAATACTGTAGTTTCAGGATTCATGATGAGTTTTGGTAAAATTTTATGTTGGCTACCTACACAACCCAACCCTTTGACCCAGGCATAGGACGAGTTAAGGGAGAGTTTAAGGTCATAAACAAGTCCACAAACACTAATATCCATGAAGAAAATTCCAACCTTAATATGGATTAGTTATCCACTTGGAAAATACGACTCACCATGCCTTTTGGTACTGAATCATTTAAGGAATTGTTATAGCAATATCGTAGATGGACTGATGAGTTCTATGGTAGGAATCACCATCCGTACAATGCATATCACATGCGGCAAACTTCATACCATTAGTATTGTGCTCCAATTCAATATGAACTGAGATTCCTACTTGTTACAATCACGCTCCATGGAATCTAGATTCCAACTTACAGGAATGAATAAATTTTAAATGGTGGGCGACATAGATGAATATCAATTAGTTGAAGCGGAATATAAATATCAATTAGTTGAAGTGGAATACACGGTAGAGATTTAAAATCAAGGTAAACATACCATGCTACATGCATTTTTGGGTTCCCAAGAATGTATTCTATGATCCATATGAACATGAAAAGCCTACATTCATAAGAGCAATCGCCATCAAATGAATGTGACAATGATGTAATGGGAAGTTTCTAGAGGTCACAATAATTTTTTTAAATCGCCATCCATCATGATCTAGCCATTGTAAGGTGGATCCCTCACACTTGACTAATAAATGCCGATTCTTAATTTGTTGTGAAGTGGCTATGGGTTTAAAGGTGAACTTTGGCAAGGTTTATTTGATAGGGGTGGGGTGTGATGATAGATTGATCGATTCGTTGGTTGGATGCTTCGGGTGTAGAATTGATCCTTTTCCTTTTTCCTATCTTGGATTACTTATTTCTATTTTAATGACTCCTATTTCTGCTTGGGATAAAGTTATTGAAAGAGTGCAATGTAAGCTGGATTTATAAAAACCAAAGTATTTGTCTTTGGGAGGTCGGATTATGCTTATCAAATCATGCTTCGCTAATTTACCTGTTTATCAGATGTTTATATTGCAAGTGCCTCGTGTAATAGCTAAGATAATTGAGTCTATGATATATAAATTTATTTGGGGATCCTTTGATGAGAAGCAAATATTTCATTTACTGTGATGGGATAGGATATGTACCCTGAAATCTGAGGGGGGTCTTGGTATTAGGAACGTTTCATTGGTAAGAACTGCCCTTCTCAAAATGATGGTGGAGATGTTTTCATCTCAAGGATTAGCTCAGGTACAAAATTCTAGTGGCCAAGTATGGGGTTGATAGGCATAGCTACTGAATTGGGAGAGGATGGAGGACTTGAAATTTATCTTACATATGGAGAATCATTTATTCTACCAAACAAATAGGGGAAAGAATGTAAGATGGAAATTGGAAGAGGGGATATCATATCCTTTTGGAACAATAAGTAGTTGGCGGACAAACCTCTAAAAGTATATTATCCTGACCTTTTTGAAAAAGCTTCCTGTTCCCAAGCCAACGTGTCTGATTTGATTAGAAAAGTAGAGGGGAAAGTGGTACGGAATATTAATCTTCTTAAGAATAGAATACCTGATGTTATTGTAAAACAATTTGCTTATTTGATGCACAGTTTGGAGGTAGTGTACATTTTCAGATACTAAGAAGGATGTCATAATTTGGGAAATGGAGAATGATGGACATTTTTTGGTAAAATCAGTTTATATAATGTTTTTTCATGATCAGTAGAGATGGTCTTATCCACAACTTTTTAAAATCTGGAAATGACCCATTTCCCATTAGGTTCAAGCTTTTATTTGGTTGGCCATGCAAGAGAAAATATTAATTATTGATAATCTCTTCAAAAGGGGAAAAATATTGCTGAATGTGTACTTGATTTCTAAAAATGATAGGGAGACAAGACCTCATCTTTTCCTTCACTGTGCTTTTGCCTCTAGTGTTTGGGAATGGTGTTTCCAGCAGTTGGGTATAGCATGAGTATCACCTTATGATATGATATCAGTGATACGATTGCCCGAGGTGGGTAAGAAGATTTGGATGATTCTTAGAGGAGTTGTTGTATAGGATATTTGGAAAGAAAGAAATCGTAGGACCTTTGATGGGCATTCATTACCTTTTGAGAGAGTATTGTTCAACATTAAATACACATTATGAAGTTGGATGTCTATTTTAAATGAAGGTTGGGGTGTGTCCGAGATTGATGTTTTATTGAATCTTTTAAATCTGTTTAAGTTGGGAGTAGTGAGGTGCATGCTAAAATTCAAGTGGGAACTTCCATTACATGGTTTTTGTAATATGGATTTTGATGGAAATTCTTATGGTAATCGAGGTGCTACTAAAGTGGGGGGAGTGGTGACAGATTAGAATAAGACTGTTTTTTTGTTATGCTAACCCTTGCGGAAATACTATTGCTAATCATGCTGAAATGGCGTCTCTGTTGCAAGGATTGAAACTAATAAAAGAAAAATTGGTTGGGTTAATTATGTGTGGTGGAAGGTGATTCCTTAAATACTATTAATTGGTACAAGAAGGAGTAGTGGGTGCCATGACAATTACGACAGTGCTAGTTACAAATTATGGATTTGGCAAATTTGTTGAGAGTCCCTTTCTTTCATATCTATAGGTAAGCCAATGAAGTGGCTGATGTTTTGGTGGGTGCTTTACTCTCTTCTTTTATGGTGTCTGGCAATGTAATTTATTTGTTATGATTTGATGATTGTAATATTCTGATATAGCAATAAAAGGTTTGAACATTGTCCCCCCGCAAAAAAAAGCAACAAAAATATTAACATTTAATCGTTCCTTGCTTTTGTTCTCAAAGAAAGCATGGAATGATTGGGATTCCAGGCCTTATTTGATAAAAATAATATTTACTTTCTACTGTGATATCACATATTCTCATATGATATAGAGATATGTGATCCCATTCCTCATCTTTCTAATTTGAATGGATGGCTAGGATTTGTTTGATTTTAATCTTTTTTTACAAAATGTTTTTTGGTATAATTTGGGGTGTCCTCTTTTCTTATTAACCAACACATAGAAAAAACAAAAACAAATATTTATGATGAAAATAAATGGAAAAAAAACTCCTTTAAGTTTCAAGGATATTCTAATAATTTTCTATCAATGGAAATATTTTTTATTATTTTTATCATGAATGACCTCCCAAATTTTGCTATGAACTTATTTATATAAAAAAAATTTAAAAATAAAATACTCTAAGCCATTTGATCAAGATTGGACTCTCAAGAGCTAGTGTGTGACATTGCAACTGAAGTCATTCCATATGTTTAATAAGATAACTAAGAGCACGGGTCACATAGCCTTTATGCGTGGATGGCGCTACATTGTTGAGCTTCCCTTAAAAATAAAACAAACAAAGAAAATTATACACATATTTGTATAATTTATGTTAATAAAATTTGCCTATAGTTTTCATTATTACCTTAATACCTATATTTTCACAAATGTTTTTAAAATGACCAAGTTGCGATGGGCCTACCCCTAAGCCCCCATACCCATCCGTTAAAGGCATACTATTTGAACAAAAATTGATAGAAAATTTGACTTCTTTTTTTATACATATTTGATGGTTTATAAAATGGAAGATTCTAGACTCAACAATAATAATTGCTAAAAATCTTCCATCAAATAATTTTTTAAGCACGAATAAATAAGAACATCTAAATCACGAATATAATAAGAACATCTAAATCACTAACTCAAAACACTTGCCAAACACGTATCTATCGCTAGTGCTATGTACTAATGATACTCTTTCAACCATTAATTACAAGCGAGAATTATAAAGCTCAGTTCAGGAATCTTTTGGCAAGATAATTTCTTGAGAACTTTATCAAGATTTTAAGAAATCTCAAAGAAAATCACAGAATTAAAGGGGTAATTTAAGAATTAAAAATTAAAATAAATAAAGAAAATGTCAATGAAATTTGAGTGCGTATGTCCATATTTAAAAATCAACTTCCCAGTTTATAAGTTCACGTGTGTGGCTAACCTTATCTTTTTAAATAAAATTTTCTTTTCCTCCGGACTTGAAAAAAAATTTAAAAAATAATAAATAAATTCAATAACAAAGATAAATTATTTTCCCTTTTTTTTTTAAATGGAAAATACTTGTCGGTTTCGTACGATCTAGCAATGAACATAAAGGAACTTGGGGTTATCCTATTCCTCACTCTTTCTCTCTCTCTCACTCAAAGCCAATTTTCCATAATAGGAGGCATCGCTGTACCAATCTCTGAGCTTTCCTTTTGCTCTCTCACTGTATTTACACTATTCTTACAAATATGGTTTCTCTACGTTTCATGGGATTGTTCATGGTTTTCTTATTATAGGTATTTACACTCTCTTCTTACCAATATAGTTTTCCTTGTTCAAGGTGGTTTTCTTATTATAGGTAATGTGTTCTTCTTTTTGTCAAAAAAGAAAAAGAAAAAAGGTAATGTGTTCTTCTCCATATAGGTGAATTCCAGTCTTTCATGGCGTGGGTTGAGTTTTCTTGGATTTTTGGTGAATTGGGTTTGTTTTAATTTGAGTCTTTAGGAGTTCGGGTCTCCATTTTATAGAGTTTTGTTGTATTTTCATGGAGTTAGGTCTCTTGAGGACATGGCAAAGAAGAGGAAAAGTGAAGTTACCGGCCTTGATGAAGTAGATAGAAAGATGCATACCACTTTTTGCAATGCTGCTAATTCTCTCTCTCTGCTATACACTCACGCCCAGAATCAGCAAAAGCTTGCCTTTCTAGCTGGAGAGCGCCACGGAATGGTACTCTCTTTCTTTAACTACATAATTTTGTTTGTCTTTGATGCACTTATCTCTTTCTATTGAATTTCTTTTTCTCTATCTAAAAGTTTGAATCTTGGGTTCTTTGTTTTTGTTGTTGGGTGATATTTGTTTCCTTGAGGAATCAATGGACTTTCTCTGGATAAGTCATTTGTTGTTGTCTCTCTCTCTCTAGACAAGTCATTTCTTTCATAAGACAAATTCCTCTCTCTCTATTGCTTTTAATTCTTTGGTTGTTTTGCGGATGGATGATTTTTTCGTTTTGTGGAAATTAAGAATTAATAGTTTTTCACTACGTAAATCTTTTCTATCATGCTTTATTAATGGCTAAGAGTCTCTCTCTATAGAATGTTCTTTGTTCATTCTGATCATTTCTATCTGTGCTTCATATCTATGTATGGTTATGCAATTGTGTAGATGTTTGCTGGGATTTTCAGGTTAACACAGGTTATGATCTATGTGCTCCTCTGGTTTCATGAGAATCCTATGGTGCAATGCACACTTCTCCTTTTTCTTGTCATTTTCGAGAAAATTCGAAGTGTTCATCCTGGCAGAACTGCTAACTTAGAAGAAATAACCCCGGTTTTTCTTTTGACTCAATTATCATTGTATATATATTCATATTTTCTCTCCTCTTATGGCAATGGCTCCTCCCAAGCTGTCACATTTCTTAGATTTCTCCTCTTATGGTAAGTACATGCATTTGGCACCGAATTACCGTCAGACATGGGGAAGGGGAATCTACATTTTTTTTGACACCAAGATATGCAGATTCCAAGTGGGAGAGATCTTTGCTTGAAACCTACCGACTAAAAAGAGGAATCACAATAATTGGGATCATATTCTACATAGATGCTTCATATAAAACTTTTATGTGTAACTTATTCATTACACTACTTTTTGACAAACTTCCAAATGGCAACCTGTTTGATTGGTTAGCTGTCAGTCTAACCAGTTGAACTGGTTGCTACCCCCTCAACTGATTGGTCGTGAAATGTTTTGGTTGTTGGGGCTCGTCTCTCAAGAGTATCTTATCGTTTTTCTACTCGTAATGTGCCTTGAACACATTGGCATTTTGGGGACTATGATCTACTCCTCGTCAGTCTTGTCTTCCCCTGTCATATTCATATCAGGTCATTTAGAACAAAGGTCGTTCACTAAACTCATCTCCGTTTCCACCAAGGAACCAACTGAAATAGGGAAATTAAGCCATCGAAAGGATTCGTCAGCCTTAGAAAGCCAAGCGCTTATAGCAACAGAGTAGGGAAAGTAGTTAGTTAGAGGGTATTTGTTCGGGCAACTGGTTGGACAGGTCTTTTTTTTTAAAAATTTAGAGTGATCATCTGCATTACTGATAGGTAGTTGTAGGCTGCTGGTTAGAGCAACCGGTTCGACAGGTCATTTTTAAAAGTTTTATGGTCATTGTCTTCATGACATACGCTCTCGTTATAATGTTGAACGATTTAAGTTTATTTGCTAATGAAAACCTTTGATGCAAGGTGTGTGATTCTTCCATATTATTGCCATTTGTACCAATTGGGCAACTAAAGCCTTCCAATCAAGCACGCTTATCATTTAGAATTAAATCCTCACAGCTTCCTCGGCATGATACAGAATTTGCAATCAATTTCGAATAGTAGGGAGTGGATTCTGTCCCATATAAACCATGTCTCACGTTTACAAATTGACCTCCATATCAGAGAAAAACCCTCGCACATGAGTGAAATTTCCAGCCCAAAGCGAGCATGAATTCTTTCACGAAGAAGCAGATTCTTGTGAGATAATGTTCTCCAGTTGAGAAAACACCTTGACTCTTAAACCAATTCTTTTTTCAAAACAGAGATAAGCAAATCACCTTAAAACTAGGTAGACTTAAATTGCCTTTCGTTCCAAATATCATGCATCATCATGACGTCCACCAAGAAGTGACAATATTTCAATAAGAAGTAGCCTTCTCATCCTCATGGCAATGATGCGAGGGGCATCCAAAATCCACCAGTATCCCTTTCCATTGGACTGGGTTTTGCATGGCCAACTTGTTAGACAGCGCTAGCCACCAAAACAACTTCACCCTCACTGAACCTTATATTGCTTTTAACTTCTAACCACTGCTTGATAGTTCCTTTGGATCGAATAAGATTAAAAACTTTGACGACATATAAATCTCTACTTCAAAAATGTTTCAAAAAAAGGCTATCTCCACCTTGTATTGTCAAAATACCTCCAATCTACTCCCACATCTGAATCATGCTGCCAAACAGTGGTGTAGCAAGATTCTAAGATTGTGTCATGCAAGGGACCTCAGAAATCTGGTATTTGAACCTAAGCAAAGATTGTTATGTATGTTCAGACAAAGAATACGGATTGCTATGTCTAATGCAAGCATGAGTTTAATTACTGGGGAGCCTACTTTGCATTAAGGCGACCATTTCATGTAATCCAGTACTCATTGCGAATACATCTTTGTGCTCTTCAACTTCTCCTTCTACATATTTTGTCCGATTTCATCATTTTGGGCCCCCAGAATGTCAAATTTGCAAAAAGTTTCTTAGGGTGACTTCTGATTCTCATTAGGAGTAGATATATGCAAGGATTACTTAGGGTAAGGTAGGAATGGAGTAAGAAGCTCTTATTATACAGTTGATCCATTTGTGAAGTTTCTTGGAAATAGGACTTTCTGGTTTTTGGAAGTTTGTACTTCGATGGGATAACGGGGAATATGTGGCTCAAGACTAAAGCTATGAAAGGTGCGTATGCTCTCTAAACTCATTTGTCCCAGACTGATCTACAACTGATGAAAAATCGGTTGTTTTGTTGTGCAATGTTCTTTTGTGAATTGGTCACAATTATTTTAAAAGAGCCCAAAAATTTGACATGTGCAACAATATAAAACCTGCTAACCAAACATATGGCTGACATTGGCACACCCATTTCTAGACTCTCAATATTCATTTCTATAGAATCACACAATCCTTGTCATAAGCATGTAATACGGAAGGAAAATGGGAATGGTGATCACGAAAGTGGTTGAGTTGATCTTTCTATATTTCTTATATTATTAAAAGGTTATTGGCACTGGCCTACTGATCTTTAGGCCTCTGAGAGCTTGCAACTTCATGTTTAGACTTCTGACTGCAGTATCAACCTTTGCAACACATCTTGTTCATAAATCTCTACTTGAAAAATGTTTCAAAAAAAGGCCATCTCCGCCTTGAGTTGTCAAAATACCTCCATTCTAGTTCCACATCTGAATCATGCTGCCAAACAGTGGTGTAGCAAGATTCTAAGATTGTGTCATGCAAGTGACCTCAGAAATCTGGTATTTGAACCCAAGCAAAGATTGTTATGTATGTTCAGACAAAGAATGCGGATTGCTATGACTAATGTAAGAATGAGTTTAATTACTGGGGAGCCTACTTTGCACTAAGGCGACCATTTCAAGTAATCCCGTACACATTGCGAATACATCTTAGTGCTCTTCAACTTCTCTTTCTACATATTTTGTCCGATTTCAATATTTTGGGCCCCCGAGGAATTGTCAAATTTGCAAAAAGTTTCTTAGGGTGACTTTTTGATTCTCATTAGGAGTAGATATGCAAGGATTAGTTAGGGTAAGGTAGCAATGGAGTAGGAAGCTCTTATTAAAAAGTTGATCCATTTGTGAAGTTGCTTGGAAATAGGACTTTTTTGTTTTTGGAAGTTTCTCCTTCGATGGGATAACGGGGAATATGTTGCACAAGACTAAAGCTATGAAAGGTGCATATGCTCTCTAAACTCATTTGTCCCAGACTGATCTACAACTGATGAAAAATCGGTTGTTTTGTTGTGCAATGTTCTTTTGTGAATTGGTCACAATTATTTTAAAATGGCCCAAAAATTTGACATGTACAATAATATAAAACCTGCTAACCAAACATATGGCTGACGTGGGCACACCAATTTCTAGACTCTCAATATTCATTTCCATAGAATCACACAATCCTTTTCATAAACATGTAATACGAAAGGAAAATGGGAATGGTGTTCACAAAAGTGGTTGAGTTGATCATTCTATGTTTCTTAGATTATTAAAAGGTTTTCGGCACTGGCCTACTGATCTTCATGCTTCATCAAAAAAGCTTGGAACTCCATGTTTAGACCTCTGACTGCAGTGTCAACCTTTGCAACACATCTTGTTCATAATCTCTACTTGAAAAATGTTTCAGAAAAAGGCTATCTCCGCCTTGAGTTGTCAAAATACCTCCAATCTAGTCCCACATCTGAATCATGCTGCCAAACAGTGGTGTCGCAAGATTCCAAGATTGTGTCATGCAAGTGACCTCGAAAATCTGGTATTTGAACCCAAGCAAAGATTGTTATGTATGTTCAGACAAAGAATGCGGATTCTATGTCTAATGCAAGCATGAGTTTATTTATTGGGGAGCCTACTTTGCACTAAGGCGACCATTTCATGTAATCCTGTACTCATTGCGAATACATCTTTGTGCTATTTAACTTCTCTTTCTACATACTTTGTCCGATTTCATCATTTTGGGCCCCCAGAAATTGTCAAATTTGCAAAAAGTTTCTTAGGGTGACTTTCTGATTCTCATTAGGCGTTGATATATGCAAGGATTAATTAGGGTAAGGTAGGAATGGAGTAAGAAGCTCTAATTGTACAGTTGATCCATTCGTGAAGTTGCTTGGAAATAGGACTTTTTTGTTTTTGGAAGTTTGTACTTCGATGGGATAACGGGGAATATGTTGCACAAGACTAAAGCTATGAAAGGTGCGTATGCTCTCTTAACTCATTTGTCCCAGACTGATCTACAACTGATGAAAAATTGGTTGTTTTGTTGTGTAATGTTCTTTTGTGAATTGTTCACAATTATTTTAAAATAGCCCAAAAATCTGACATGTACAATAATATAAAACTTGCTAATCAAACATATGGCTGACGTGGGCACACCATTTCTAGACTCTCAATATTCATTTCCATAGAA